GTCGCAAAACCTTGTCATTATACGAATTCATCGTTTTGCGAGGCCGTCATCTTGTGAGGCACCACTGTAAAGCAAATTGGCTCTGAATCAGTCCACAAAGAAGTTTTTCAAACTATTAAATCAAGCTCTAATCTGTCTCAAAGAGTCCATATACATCTTCAATTATAAATATTCACTTGTGTTTGCAAAGGATGTATTTTCAAGTGACAAATCAAAAGGAGTCTCTAATGATGTACATCTGATCTTATGTTTATATATTTATATTTATATTTAAAATTAAATCTGAGTTTATGCATGTAGTTTTAAATTTAATGTGGTGGACTCACCAGGTCTTTTATATGGAATACAGTGGTACGTTGACTTACGAACTTAATCCATCAAAAAGTTTGTAAGTTGAAGCACCATTTCCCATAGGACTGCATTGGAAACCATTTAATCCAAACCAGCTGTTTTTGGTTCTTATGTCGAGGTGCTGTTCGCAAGTAGAGGCATTGATTCCCATAGGAACTAATGCAAAGCCGGTTAATCCGTACTCTACCACTAGGAGGAGAATTTTTTTATTTTCTTCTTCTTTTGACCTAAGATGAACTTAGATCAAAAAAAGGGCAAGAAAGGTTTTTTTTTTTCGTTCGCAAGTCGAGGCTCCGTTCGCAAGTCAAAGCACCATTTTGCGAACGGAGCCATTTGTAACTCGAAATGTTCGTAAGTGGAGACGTTCATAAGTCAAGGTACCACTGTAGTTCAATGGAATAAGGAACTAGAAGACATTAACAATAAGAAAGTATTGGGCAATGTTATTTTCCTTACCATGGAGTTCTAAGACAGTGATCAGTCAATTTGGATCAGTTTGAGATTGAAATGTTTATCTGGATTTATTTGCATTAACCTTTGGCCTTGGGCCAGAAACAGACTTGATCCCCTGGGAGATGATCTTTGCTGCGATGATTAACTTTCCTGGAAGAAATACAAGGACTGTTGATTTTCCTAGGTACTTTAATGGCTTTTAATACCATTGTGGATTGCACTATTCAGGTTTTTCATGTTGAGAATATAGATGCTGATTGATAATGGTTCTGCTTCTGCTTGGAGATATGACTCCACTAGATGCTACTAAGGGTGTATTACTCTATCTCTTAACCTGTGGGGTTCTTTGGAGACCCACAGAGACCTTTTCTCTTATGATGCTGTTTAGCATCTTTGTGAAATTCCTGGAAGAAAACACCTGGAGATTTTTGACATGTATCATCAGTGTGAACATGATCCCCAGGTGTAGCTCTCTTTTCCATCAGATGTGGGGAGGATACATATCTGCTGAATCTCAGTACCAGCCACTTAGTCTAAGCAAAGTCATATCCCCTTTATGATCTTTTTGGCACTAGATGAAGACTTAAACAAACAAACAAACAAAAAAACCAATTAGGCATTTTAAATCTTCCATAAATGTTTTCTGCTGTAGTTTGTTTTGTAATCTGATTTGTGTATTGATTTCTGTTGTTTTTATTGGAAGGAGTTTTGTGTGCTCATGCTCAATTCTTAATGTCTGATGTTTAAAATTTAATGATTTATTTTAGCTGGAGTTTTTGTAAGCTGCCGAAAGAATATTTGTTGAACAGCTTAAGTTAACATTTGATAAGCACATAGTTGTAGACAAGGAAGAGGAAAAAAGAGAATATGTTAACATATAAGAGCTCCAAAGCCTCAGTTTGCATTACTTTAAAAATATCTACAAAGGACATGTGTTTTGATGCTGCTCTTAGATGAAAATCATTGCATGCATTGTAATGTTGGTCTTACTGTTCACACAAAGAGAACAACAGCAAAACAAATCCCATTATGAGTAATTCTAAAAATATTGTCTGATTCTTCATTACAGAGTAAACCTTCAAAATACAGACAAATAAAGAAAAATGTGCCAAGGGACTACAGAGAATGGGATGTGTATGTTATATACCTTTTTCCAATTATTTGTGTGTGTGTGTGTGTGTGTAATATTAACACTGGTTTTTAAGAAGTAAGAATTTATATGTTAAAAAATTCCTTCCAGTTTAGATGGTTGCTATAAGGGACGTGTTGGCGCTGCGGGCTAAACCGCAGAAGTCTGTGCTGCAGGGTCAGAAGACCAGCAGTCGTAAGATTGAATACACGCAACGGAGTGAGCTCCCATTGCTTTGTCCCAGCTCCTCTCCAACCTAGAAGTTCAAAAGCATTTACATGCAAGTAGATAAATAGGTATCACCTCGGTGGGAAGGTAAAATGGCATTCCCTAGTCATGCTGGCCACGTGACAACGGAAACTGTCTTCAGACAAGCGCTGGCTGTACGGCTTGAAAAATGGGATGAGCACCGCCCCCTAGAGTCAGACACGACTGGACTATAAATGTCTAGGTGTCTTATTTAAAAACTCCAGAGCTTTTCCCATTCATTTGAAAGCAGCTTCATAAACATCAAATAAAACACCAATATGGCTGGACCAGATGGCAAGCTATTTGTGCCCCTTGAGCTTTATAGGGCAAAACTACTCACCTAGCTACAGCATGTCCCAAATATGGGCACATTCACATAATGCCTCTCTAGATTCAGAACAACAGAAGAGCCTGACAAGAACTCTGGAAGTTCCCAGGTCAACCCTCAAGGCAATTGTTTTCATGGAGGTTGCCTTGATGTTCAGAGGGAACTTTAATCCAGAAGATAGATATCAACTTCTGGCATAATATAATTTTCCAACAGGTTTTCTCCATAATCCTAAAAGCATTTGAAGATATGGTATTTGAGGCTACCAAAATCTGTCAAACTGTTTCTAAACTGGGCATTTCAGTGACTTTCTTCATTAGAAGGGGCTACAACAGTGTCTGTTTGGAATTTGCAAGCCATATAATTGATGCTGATTTCTAGAATGCCTCTACATTTGTAGTTACTGTTATTCTAATGCACTGCACCAAAATTTTGTTGCCTCTTCTGGGAATTTCCCCCCAGTACTTGGCTTTCCACTATAAATAGGGCCTCTATGGTTTTTCAATCAGTATAGACAACTCTGAAGTTGATGGAGATCAAGAGATGTTATAATAATAATATCTAAGATAAGTCACTGCTGTCCTGCTGCAGTCAGAAGAGAGAGGATTTTGTTCATTTTCTTCTAGAATGCTCCTTATACCTAGACTTAAGAACTCAATACAGTGGTGCCTCGCTTAACGGGCGCTCCGCTTAGCGATGACTTTTGCAGAGCGTTTTTGCGCTTCATTTAGCGATGGTCCCTATGGGCGATTTTTGCTTAGCGATGGTTGGGACCATGCTTCGCATAGCAATTAAATTTTGGGTCCCCTGTTTTGCTTAACGATGGTTTAAACAGCCTCATGTTTGCTGTTTTTAAAATGTTTTTCTGTTATTTATAAGGTTAAAGTTTACTGTTTAAAATGTTTGAAATCATAAAGTGCACTTAATAAACCCTTTGTTAACCAAATTTGACTTTGTTCTGACTCTTTTTAAATTTGTTGTATCCCCCCCCCCCATTGAGATGCATTGAATAGGTTTCAATGCATATCAACCGGGGAACCGCGTTTCGCTTAGCGATGTTTCCTATGGCGATTTTTGCTTAAGGACGGCAATTCGTTCCTATTGGAACGGATTATCCGGTTTTCAATGCATTTCAATGGGAAACCGCATTTTGCTTAGTGATGAAATAGCTTAGCAGCGATTTTTCGGAATGAATTAACATTGCTAAGCAAGGCACCACTGTATCTTGATCCTATTTACTGGTAATGGAGATAATATTTTCTCAAATACAATCTCTGTTATATTGGCAGAATAATTTATGATGTGTTCTTTACAGTTACTAAATATTTTAAACTTGATTGTGCAAGTCTGAATCTAATGTAGTAGTAACGTTTCAATTTAAAAGTTAATAGGCTTAAAAGTAGCAGGGAAGCTTTCTAATTAAAGCAAAAGGCTATGGTTTAATCTGTACGTTTGCCCAAATAGTCTATTTTCTCATTGCTGTTTTTTAAAACAAAACATAAGATAAACTAAAAATACCTTATGAAAATTGGATGCCATATCTCATACAGCTGCCTGTAGAACAAGGCACATATGATTCTAACATATGTGTCTTTCTTAAAATATAATGGAGTGCATACTTTTCACTAACTGGAGATCACTACTTTAGAAAGTGGCATTGTGACTCAGATTCTATCCTTGTCATTACTGATAAAAGAGCTTCTGATGTCCAAAACAGTTGCCTGTGGTCTCGAAGAAGTACTGCTTGAATGGGTTGGAAGCTTGAGATGTGATAACCTATTATTCCTTTTGTCCTTAAACAACAAACTGTATACAATGTGAATATAAATAAAAATGCTGATTATTTTCAATTCAAGATTTGATGTGGAACAAGAATGCTCCAGAATTGATAAAAATGAAGAAAATCAATTTTGTAAAACAAGCATTACTACTAAGACAAAGTTGCCAGACATGGAGATAGATACAACAGGTAAGCGTTACTCCATTCTCTAGGGATAATTTTTGTTGTTATTGCCATTTACTGCAAAATGTCAATTCTGATACGTGCATAGAAAGAATTCTTTTTTCTTCAAAATATGTAAATTGGTGCTGCTATAAAAGTATAAGACTTTGTACCAATTTGGGGATATATCCAGAATTAGTCTTAACTAGAGGAGACCCATTAAAATCAGAGGGATTTAAGTTAGCTATGACTAGCAAGTCCCAGTTCAGAAATTGTACATTTAGATGAGACTTCTCCGATATTAAAAGCAGACCAGTCTGTAGTGGATCTTCTTCTCTCCCATTTTTGAATATGGGGATGACATTTGTTCACTTCCAGTCTTCACAGACGTCACATTTTCTTCAGGAATTCTCAAAGACAATAGGCAAAGGCTTTCAAATGACTTCTACAAGGCTCTGAGATCATTTGAGAATACTTTGGCAAGTTCCTTTAATACAATTCATCTGGCCGAGGAGACTTGAATTATTTAAAATAGCTAGACATTCCTGTACCATCACTTTAGCTATTCTGGGCAGCATTTCCTTCCTCTGCCCCTGTTATTCTATTTGCACTAGGCTGGGCATTGTTTTCTTTCAGAAGAAGATGAGGGAATTCACATGGGCCTTGTATTCTGCTGTGTAGCTCTAACTTTAATCTGCTGGTGTTGTGATTGAAAACTTTCTGTCTGCCCAATAGCACACTGTTTCTTTTAGTTGTTTTCTGTGCACATTAGCAAGATTTACAATCCATATGTTGTCTTCCCTTTTCTTCTTTCTTTAGTTATGTTCTGGGATTATCTGCCCTTGAGTATGTATAGAACTCAATCACCCCTCTTTCTTACCCTCTTAATCTAGTTCTTCCTATCTTGTTTCTTGCACATTCCATAGTGAGTGGGGCAAGGGGAATAGTGGGATGTTCTGCAGATTCCTCTCTGGCCATTTATAGGGTCACCAGCAGTTTTACTGCGATACACAGTGTACTGTGCATGGTCATTAGGGGGGGAGTTCCTTGAGATCATTATATCCCACACTAGATTGATTGCAAGTGCTGAGGATGGAGAGGAGATTTCTATCTTTCCACTGAACTTTTCATAAAAATTTAGGGGCCCTGACCTAGTTATGTTTCATGAATAATGATCCCCATAGTGCTGTTGGGCTATGGTTATAGTGCACTACTGCACTTTCCCAGCACAACCATGCTATTCAATATGGGAACATTATAAAATGTTTTCGCAGCATCACCTAGTTGAATGCTGCTTGTCTCCTTCCATTCCCCACTATACAGATATTATTAGTGGGTAATCATTCATATGTTGCTCCATGATACAGGAAAGTCACACTGCCAGCAGCTAGGAGGTAATGTGTCTTGCAGACCAGAGCTTCAAATGACAGAAGTGCAATGGTAATAGGTGAGCTGAAAGTAGAGGCATATGTCCACAGAGGCATGTCACTAGGATGCGACTAATGCCAACATGGGAGGCACCACCCCCAAACAAGGGAGTGATGGAACATTGCACAAAAATACATCAAAACAAGGGGTTCCTACATCAAATAACTCTAGATTATTCTACTTGTCACTTTAATGCAATAGACTGATTAAATGCAGAGATCACAGATCTACCACCAGGTAGTGACATATATAACTTGGATTTCAAGCACAAAAGTGGAATGTAATGCTATATTATTAATCTAGATTTTTCCTGAAAACACCATCTGCACGGTCAGTTGTTTGCTTCTAGTACTTTTGTCTCTCTTCCTGGGCCACAACCTTTAACAAGGGAAGGAGTGAAAAAGAAATGCACTTGTGCCCTCAGGTCTTTCACCTTTGCATCTAGAACTTCACAGTTGCTTCCATTACTCTGTCACATTTTGGACTTTTGCACCAGGAAGACATTATATTTCCTTGGACATCATGTCAGGATGCTTCTGCCTCTGTGCCCCTCCATCAGGAGTCACCTATCCCCACTACACAATAACACCTCCTCCAGGAAATGGCAGAGTTTCTTCCATCCACAGATACCTGTACTATCACTTCCATGCTCTCTCCTCTTCCTGTTCAAGTGGTGCAGAGTTCTGGTCCATAGGTTGTATCTGGGACTTTTGTCCTTGTGTATATTAATTGACACAGCATTTCTGCCCTCTCCCCCCAAATATCCATGAAAAATGCCCTTGTTCACTCATCCTGTTCGTGAGATTCTGCTCACTGGCAGCTGCTAGTTCCATACCAAAGCAAGGTGGTGACTCACTTCCTCTTAGCACTAAACCATCTCCCTATCACTATGTGCCTGGAAGATAGGATATAGCGATGACTGAACAAAGAGCGAAAGTACACAGTCAAATCTCCGAAGAGTTCAGACAGTCAGCAAAATTGTTATTTACCAAATGGAATAGAAGATATGGCAGTAATTATTTATTTATTTATTTATTTATTTATTTATTTATTTGTTTGTTTGTTTATTTATTTATTTATTTATTTAATTTTATTTTATTTTATTTTATTTTATTTTATTTTATTTTATTTCATTTCATTTCATTTCATTTCATTTCTATCCCGCCTATCTGGTCGGGTCAGGACCACTCAATTTAACTAGGAAAGAGCTATTTTGCAAACAGGATTGTTGGATATATGTCTGCATTGGCTCCCACCTTTGTCATCACAGTAGCAGAAGTAGATGGGTTTTCAATTACAGTGGCACTTAGAAAAGATTACAAACCTGGATGCTATACTAGCAGCTGGTTGCTTGATAACTCAAGAATACTGCTGCAGTGGCAAGAGAGGAGTAAGACAATAAAGGGGTAATAGCTGCGTTAGGAGGAGGAGGCTGAAGTGAGGAAGGTAGATTTTCCCAAGGTCTCAGGAAGACGTTTTTTCCAGCTTCATGGCTTGGGGTCTTTTAGTCAGAGATAGTATTGATTACACTTGTGATCTTTTGAAAAATCTGTCCTTATTCTGCCATTCAATTAAGAGCACCTTGTTTAATGCTAATGCCTATGTACATTGAGAGGAAGGAGATTCAGATCCATCTTTTAGTAACATTTTCCTTTTAGTATGTAATGAATGTTTTTAAGGTATGACTACAAAAGAAAAGAACTTTATTGCTAACAGAGAAAAAGAAAAAGGCAATGAAGCATTTGTAACAGGAGATTACAAAGAAGCAGTTGCCTACTATAATCGGTGAGTTAATGCAATTTGAATCTTTATTTTTAATTTGTTTCATTATTTTGTTGAAGTGTTGATCAACTAGAAAATAACTTTTAAATACTTCAGTCAGTTATTCAGTACTCGACTCAAGGTTTGTCCCAATAAAATTCAGTGTTCTGGAAAAAAACACTAAGCTTCCCAGTCCCATTTTACAAGCTTATGCATGTTTAAATGCTGTGGCTTCAGGTTACTGCTTATATCTGACTTCCTCTGATGTTGCATGGCTGGTAAAACAGCATTCTGTAAGCTGTTATGGATAGGAGGGGGCAGTCCAAACAAAAATTTAAAACTTTTGAATGGGTTGTCGAATTGGGAACTTACAGGGCAGAGTGGTAGTACACAGTAAGGGCCTGCTGTGTGTCAAATTTCACATTGTTAGGAGAAGTGCTTTTAAAGTTATAACTTTTGTTTTAAAATAATGTTCATATCCCTCCATGATCTTGTGTTGCTACTATTTTTATGATACATAATAAATTCCATAATTATTTTTCAAATGCCTACTACTGTTTCCTGAAAAGCAAATGATTCCCATGATGTGTTTTTTAAAAAATTGAAGTCACTCCATTCTGTTCTTCAGAAAATATATGACCTCAAAAATAGTCAAATTACACAGGAATTTTTCCCCTAAAGTTTTATTGCATGTCCTTGTTGAAGAATTTCGCAGCAGTTGCCCAAACTTCTTGCCAGTACTTAAAGAAATTATTGAGTCTTTTTTAGGTGAATGGGTTTACTTCTGGGCAAGACAGTAGATTAGGACTTGAAGCTTATCTTACAAATAAGAGTTATTAAACACAGACAGAGAGAGAGAGAAAGAGAGAGAAATAGATAGACACTATGATGTCATGAAGAGAGATCCAGAAAGAAGGAGAATCAGAGAGAGGAACCACATAGTGAGAGTAGAAAGGAGGGAGAGTCGTCCTGTCATCAACAGGCTTGCCTTTACTATGGCATCCTTTTTCTTGGTGCCAACATAGGCATGATAATTCAAGACAACATGAAACCATTTCTTGGTGTTTTGAATCAGATACAGAAGCAATACCCTACATTCATAAATCGGAGGGATTTTTAAAAGAATTAAGTTTCTTGGCTTTTCAAAACAGAAGTTTAATAACACACAGCACAATCAAATTTGCAATGGAAGAGTTGGGCTACTTCAATAAGACTTCTTTCTGAGTAGGCTCACACAGGGAGCTATGTACAAGTAATACCCTTTCAGGGATTTGAAAGCATAGTATTACATGTTGTTTTTCTTTCTTACTTACTTTCATACATTTTTTGCAGGGATTCAGAAAGTGGTATCCAAGGGAGTGTTCTTTGTTAGCTTGCAGGGGATTGAAACCTGTTTGGGTGGAGACCTATTTTCCAGCAGTGTTACCACACTGGCTTTCTAGACACATTGATAATTTTTATTGTTATTTTGTTCTAGCAGAAATTAAACTTGATACTTCATAATCACATAATCCATGAATCCCTGTGTCAAGTTTACATACCCTCCATTTGACAAGCTGACTCATATTTTTATGATATATACAGTATATACTGGTGCTGTCTTCTTGGTGATCCCTTGCCACTCTGCAGGGTTTTGGAGGGTCTTTGAAAGCCCAGTGTAAATGTAGGAATGAATTTCACTCTTCCTGCAGTTCCAGATTTGGAACTGAGGAAAGTTATTGGGGCTTGTTTTATCACTGAGTTGCTGATGCACTAAAAGTGCCTTCACAAGTCATCACCCAAATACCTATCTCCCACCTCAATTTCCAGATGTAGATGAGAACTATATGGGTTGTTGTGGCAGCAGAGAGAGAGAGAGAGAGATGAAATTGTAAATGTTATGATTCTATATTAGGTAAACAATGGATATTGATTTGTGCATCAAATAAATTCAGCTCAGAGCCGTGACAGCTTTTGATTACATTTCCAGGCCTTTATAGTTTGAGCAGACTTTTTATTGAAACATTCCCATTAATTTTATTCTGCTTAATACCTCTAATATTTTGCAGGAGTATATCTGCATTTCCCACTGTTGCTGCTTACAATAACAAAGCTCAGGCAGAAATAAAACTTCAGAATTGGCATGTTGCTCTTCATGATTGTGAGACTGTTTTAAAAATGGACTCTCAAAATGTAAAAGGTAAACATGAAAGAACTGTGTCTGAAAATCTTGTACTGTCAGAAACCTTTTAAAATTAATGGGGCCAAGCCAAAGTAAGTCACACAGCAATTTCAGTTTAAATAAATGTAGCAAAAAAGTGGGAGGGAGAAAAGATAAATACGTATTAAAGTTTAATGGACATTTAATATTGACATCTTTAGTGTGCAAGAAGCCACCAGTTGCAAATTTCATTTTGTGTCTCTCTTATTGGGCAATAAATGAAGCACCAAAACAGACAAAGTATAATACTCTTCTTGACGACTTAACATATTGGAGGGAGGAGGCGGGGATGGCAGCAAGAGCAGAGGGAATCCCCAGGGCTCTGGGGAACCCTGTGTAAACTCCGAGTCAGAAGACCCCTCCAAGTAGTGGAAGGGGGGGCAAGATTTACAGGAGAGTGGTCTTGCAATAGGGGAGAGCTGAAGAAACTCCGAATTCAGACAGCAATCTGTCTTCATGAGAGCTTTCCTTTCTCAAGCATCTGGCCTGGGAGACGCCATTTCAGGTGAATTAGCTGCTTAACTTTGCCAAGATGGGAAGTGTGAAGAAGATTTTTGCTTGACTGCATGAACTGCATGAACTGTGAATAACTGGTTGTGTATTTAGCATCAGCAAACACAGATTAAACTCAGGCTGCTGACTTAAAAGCAGAGAAGAAATAAACAAAAGTGGCAAAGGAGCAATTATCAGAACAGAAAACAAACAAACAAACCAAGAACAGAAGCCACATAAATTGGGGTAATTAAGAGATAAATTGCCTGTTACTCAATCTCTTCTTGAAATCAAGCGGAAAACTTTATTTTTTTAGATGGTTTTGTTAGTGTATCTCTGAAACATCAGCCATTTCTTAACTGCGTCACATTTGAAAGAGAAACTAAAGTTAAAAGGCACAGACGGAGATCATTTTCTCATCCCACCCCCTTTCTCATCCCCCTGTCCTCCCTTGATGGTATAGACTATTATACCATAATACGAGAGGTTTGAGAAGATTGGAGTACTGTACTTAAAGGGAGTGCTTAACAGAGGCACCTGGGGAGAATTCTGGGTGTTGATTGACAAAAGGGGGGACCACTGCGCTATGGACTGATTAATGGTTTTACTGTTTTATGGCTCCTAACTGAATTTTGAGTTGGGGGAAAGGACTTGGTGGACATGGCGCAAATCAGAGAGCAAACAGAAGCAGAAACGGGCTTGCTGGATTATAAGAAGCAGAAAAAATATCTGAACATTCTAAAAGCTGGATTCTTTTATTTTTCAGTGGAAAGTGTTATCCTATAATAAATCTATATCCAAGAAGCAGAAATGTCAGCCTTTACAAGTCCATCAAAATTAACAATGCAAGATTCTTTTAAGAATTATATACACAAGTTTCAAATTAACATTATCAATTATCTAAACATTATCAATTATCTTTATTAAAACCTAGACCCTCAAAATTAAGGTGGAAATTTCAGGATTTAAAAAGGACATGGAAAGGAATGTGCAGACAGAAGACCAATTCACCAGAACAGCGGAAGCAGCAGAAAAAGAGACTATAGAATCAAGATCAAAGGAAGATAAAATAATGGGCTTTTATGAGAGGCAGACCCATGTCGATGAGTTGGGGATCCATACTCATGAGATTACTCAAAAATGTATATTTGTTTGCTAGAAGAGGATTTAGAGAAGGAAAGGGTGATGATGGAAGGGGTACAAAATATTGGTTACAATTCAGATATATATGATTGGATTCAAATGTGGAATGATACTTATAGATGGATTAAACCAGTAAATTTGAGAGAAAATGTTTTAAAGATGTTCTATAGATGGCACTTCAAAACTGGCAAAAAAGGTGTTAGAAATTAATTCAGGTTAAAATATTGTCAGCAGCTTCGGACTTTCTTCTGTATAGGTGGTGGATAAGTGATAAAGTAAAACAATTTTGGAGAGAGATAGAAAGATATTATATAATCCTTAAATTAGAAATGTTCCTGTTGAATACAATGTCATACATACATACATACACTCTCTCTCTCTCACACACACACACACACACACACACAGATCCCGGCACTTTCCCTTCCTTCACACACACATACGCATTCTCTTCCTTCCTGTAACTCTCTCTGTCTCTCTCTCTCTCTTTCTCTCTCACACACACAGAACCCGGCACTTTCTCTTCCTTCACACACACACACACACACACACACACACACACACACACACACACACACACACACACACACGCTCTCTTCCTTCCTGTATCTCTCTCACACACAGAAACACACACACACACACACACAGAAAACATATGTGATTATAAATATTTGGATTTATAAGGTTGTTCTAGGATTAAAATGGGATAGTTTGTTAGAGACATTATCTGAGAATTTGATGTTATGTTAAAGAAAACTGAAAAATATTTTTGATTAAGCCCAGAAATAAATATGAGTAGAGAATATAGTATGGGTTAAAGATTTTAGTATTGTAACATAGTTATGTAGTCAAGATTGTATATAGATACTGTACTGTGATAAGCACCTCAAACTAGAATTGCTTTTGCTAAATATAATATTAGAAAGTTATGATACAAAAGATATATATAGGAAACATATGTTATTATAAATATTCATAGTTATAAAGCTGATCTGGGCTTAAAATGGGATAAACTGTTAGAAATATTAGTTGAGAATTTGAGAAGTTATGCTAAAGAAAATGGAATATTTTTTTTTACTGAGCCCAGAAATAAACATGAGCAGAGAGTATAACATAGGTTAAAGGTTTTAGTACTGTAATGTGGTTAAGCAGTCAAGATTACATATTACATACTGTGGTATGGTAAACACTTCCCTCCGTGTATGTTTTATATGTGTTGTCTGTTTGTTATATAATTAAAATTATTTTAAAAAACACCAAAACATATTTTTGTGAAGTTGAGGGAAAAACAGCAGTACATTGTCTGACTTTCATTGTTAGTAATCATTCTTCTACAGTACTGTAGGGAAAACTCCCCTAAACATCATGTGGATTCTGAGGTAGGGCTAACTAGGAAGTGGAGAAAGAAATGTACTGAGCTACAAAGCTATCCTGTGCTCTTCAGTTTTTTTTTTAAAGGAGGGAACATACTGTATGTCTTACAACTGCCTTTTTCTAGCATTCCAGAACAAGGAAAGGGGAAAAAATATTTAATTATACTTGTACCTTTCAGAGTAAGTTAGTCTCTTCTGCTCACAGTAACTGTTCTTTTAATACTGTCTTCTCATGACAAGCGATTAGATAAAGATAAGGCATGTCAAACATCCATGTGTATGTTCATGGAATTTAAATACAAATATGTCATATAAAGATGTATATTGTAGTCATTAAAGTATTGATGTAGCACTTGCAAAAGGGAAACTCATGTTTAAGGCCAGCCTACCTCTGTGTGTTTGATGTGAGCATAAAATGTGGGGTAAAGTACGTAAAAGTTCAGTGGAATAATTATGGCACTAAAATTCCTGTATATTATTTGTATTTATAAATGTTTCTATTGGGCTTTCTTTTTGTCTCCTGACCACATGGCCTGGGGGTGGGGCCTAGGGGTGGGACTTCCTGCTTTAAAAGAGCGTGTCCCAGGACCTAGGCCCCTTTTCCCTAGGAAGCTGGGCTGAGGGCGAAGGCCAGGTTTGTTTGCATGGATGCCTTGCTGAGTTTTTTTTCCTGGACTTTCTTTTTGTCTCCTGACCACATGGCCTGGGGGTGGGGCCTAGGGGTGGGACTTCCTGCTTTAAAAGAGCATGTCCCAGGACCGCACGCCTAACGGTGCGTGAAATTCTCAAATTTTGTATCTGGCCTCAATATGGTAAATAGGAAGCCAATTAGATTTGCATAAGCCTGGGTGTCTGGAAAGTTTTAAGGATCAGATTGTACTTTTGCACTATTAAAGAGCAGGCCGGGTAGGTGGGGCTCGTCAGCCATGGATGGCAGCCCATCTAGGAGAAGGAAAACTCCGATTTCAAACCTCCACTGCCTTGTGGCTATATCCATTCATGGAAAAGGCTTCAGGAGTTAACCTAGAGGCAAAATCTGGAGCTGGAGTCCCGAAGACAGTTCATGTCATTCTGTCAACTCCTGCGATGTTGCTGGAACCAGTCGTATTGGCTCTTGCCTTTCCATTGGACCATTTCAGCAATGTGGAGAGGGGGGATCTGCTGCTTGGGTAACAGCCTATCCTCCACATTACCTTACCCGGGCTTCATGTTCTGGAGAGGACACTCCTCGATTCAGAGCATGTTACCATAGTCTCTTGAGACTGAAGGATGCCTATGGAAATGTTTCTATGCTGTGTTTACATATACAGATCTCCCCCAAGAGCCCTTGTATTAGTTCACAATTCTAAATATGTGTTAGAGCAGCCATTCGCAAGCTTTTTTTTTTGCCACAGCCATAAACCCAATATGAAAGAAATATAGACTGAATCAGTCGCATAACAAACCTTTTAACATGGTATGTGAAGAACTGTTGCCAGTCTATGGCCCCTTTCAAATGTGCCAGGGGCCCCGAGGGGGTCATATGGCTCCCATTAAGAATGGTTGTGTTAGAGTACTGAAATCAGTTAATAACTTTAAAGCAGTGACTTAACTAGCAACATAGAAAGAGATGAACTTAACATGGTTGAGAAGCTTAGGGGAACAAAAATGTTCTAGCTGTTTGCCTAAAAACGATCACAAAGTTGAGTCCCATGGAATTTTTTTTCAATACAGAGTGTTCTCAATCTTGGTGCTGCCACTAAAAAGCCCTATCTTCCTAGGTCACTGCCACGTAACACCTCCTTTGGCAGCAAAGCACAGAATAGGTCCTCTGGTTGTGCTTGCAAACAGCAGTTACAGGTGGAGTTTCAGAACTTTCAGATATCATGGCCCCAAGCTGCTTAGAGTGTAACATATAATAACCAACACCTTGGTTTTAATCTGGAGGCTACAGGGATGTTGGCAATCCTTGGGTCCAAGTCCCAAGTCCAAATCTTTGGCACCAAATCCTTAGTCTCAAGCCCCAAGTCTGAGTTCCTATTAAAAATAAGCTGTCCCCCAGAAAAAAAAAAGGAAGGTGAGTGTGTTCTGAATTGAGAGTCAAGTCCAAATCATTGGGGGGGGGAACCCAAGTCGACTCTGAGTCTAGTCACTAGTGTGACTTCAATCCAATTTGATAGTGAGTCCCACAACGTGAATCCCCCATCCCTGGGAAGCTAACAGGAAGCCAGTGCAAATGGAACAGGATGAGCATTTAATGATACAAATTGCTGATGATCTGTAGCATGTCTAATGAGGTTAATGTTTTTCGAAAAGGCTATTCTTATTAAATAGATATTCTGCAGTAGATAGAAGATTTTAAGTAAATAATAGAGGATTTTTTTACATTTCTGCTGTAAGACCGTTTTGAAATAGTTATTATGTATTGAGTAATTTAGAACAGTTAAATAAAATGAATATATCTTTTATTAATTTGCAGGTCTTATGCGCCGTGCCACTGTTTACAACAATCTACAAAATTTCAAAGCTGCTGCAGAAGATTTAAAGAAAGTGTTACAAATTGAGCCAGAAAATGTCACAGCAAAAGTAAGTATTAGTAGTTTACATACTGGATGCAAGCAGGATAGAGTTCCACCATGGTTGAAAGAGGAAATGATAAGATCTTTGTTGAAAAAGCTCTCCTGAGTCCAGCTATACTGGATAATTACTGTCCATTGTCCTGTATCTAGCTCTTGGACAATGCTTTGGAGCACGTAGTGGCTACCCAGCTCCAGGTGGTCCTGAACAAAATTAATTATCTCTTTAGGCCTAATTATATGATGGAGACAAGATGAAGAGATTTGGTTCGCATAATGAGTTAATAAATGCCATTGCTTTACTACACCTCATAGCGCAGTGGTTAAACTGTTGCACTGCAGCCAAAACTGTGCTCACACCATGGGGTTTAATCCCAGGTAGATGGCTCAAGATTGACTCAGCCTTCTATCCTTCCCAGGTCGGTAAAATTAGTACCCAGCTTCCTGGAGGGGGGCAATGTGTAGCCTGGGTAATTAACTTGTAAATCACCCAAAGAGTGTTTGAAGCACTATGGGGCGGTTTGTAAGCATCACACTTTGGTTTTGCTTTTTTACACCTATACCGTATATTTAGAGTGGACCCATTTAAATACCATGTCATTAAGTCTGGACCCAATCGAGAAAAGCAAATGTACAAATATTGTAAATGTAGGTCCGTATAATTTTGTACAATTTATTTTTTTAATTCAGGGTTATGTCCTGAATGTTTTTTCTTGATGTTGACCAATCAGAATATAATGAAACTACTGTATCTTTTTGTTCTAATGTGTTTCAGTTTGCTCTTATTTACTTTACATTACATTTCAGTCGGGTGCCTAGGCTGCTTTTGTAGAATTTTCCATACACAGATGTATATACTTGGTCTCGTATCCATTTACTGCCATCTCATTTCTGATATTAGCTTCTCCAGTTATTTTTATATGAACATTTGAAATTGTAACAATCATATTTCTATCATATTGAATAATAGCATGCTGGATTCAAGTTTAATTATGCTTAGAGTAGATTCACTCAAAAAAGGTGATTTAATTTAGTCATGCCAGTTTTCAGTCCCAGTGTTCAGTGTGTATATTTCAAGCACCACCAAGTCAATCTAATTTTAAGATATTTAAAATAAAAAGTAACTTTCAGTGACAGCAAACTTAGTACATTTAATTTTTTTCCAAGAAAAATAAGTCAGTATTGTTGTTATACTACAGAAGAATCTCTCAGATACTCAAAAGAATCTGAAAGAATCAGAACCATCATATCCGTGTGAGAAGAAAGGGAAAAGAATACTTATTCAAGATATAGAAGAATCTGATGGTGATGAAGAAGGAGGAAATGAAGGAGAACATGAAAATGGCAGTGAAGATAAAAGTAATGCTAATGTTTTATTCTCATTGGAAGAGTGTGGAGTAGACTATACAGTACTCACTGGATCACAAGAATCTGTTCTATAGAGTCAGACCGTTACTTCATCTAGATCAGTATTTTTATACTCACTAGTAGTAGCTTCCAGGGTTTCTGAGAGGAGCTTTTCAAGACATTCTTGAAGATGCCAGAGAATTATCTCTTATATGCAAAGCACTTCCTTTGCCACTCAGCTAACACTGAAAAAATGCTATAAACACACACACACACACACACACACACACACACACACACAGAGAGAGAGAGAGTTTTTCACTTGGATCAAATTTCACTTTAAAAGCTGTCACAACAAAATTACTGACAATTTTATTAATAATAAAAAATATATTAATAGTGAATAACAATTATCTATAAGCCACTTTTTAAGGAAGACCCAAGGTGACATAGAACAAAACTTGAATCCAAAAAAATGAAATAGAACAATATTATACAGACAATATCAAACTGCATTGAGTAGTAGTTTGGATAAAACATTTAACACTGAGCACAGCTATGGCTAGCTAATTTTGTGTTAAAGTCAGGTATATAAAATTCTGTCCTCCCTTCCATGGTTTCATAATATATCTATGTAGTTGGTAGATATGTAAATAACAGGAAACAATAATACTAAGTTTATTTTGGTCGTGAGATCTGTATTTGTAATTAACTGGTGAGGTAAGCAAGGAAGTGACTACACTTAATATTTAACCCGCAATTTATGTCAGATTGGGCTCTAATGAATTCAGTGACTACATGATGTAAAGTTCAATGCAGGGAAACTCATTGAGGAATAGTGTTTTGGTTTTTTGGTTTTTGAGCAGGGAGTTACCCTTTTCGTTCAGCCAGCAGAGGTGGTTTAAATTTGTTCTGATCAATTTGGCATTGCATTTTTCCACTTTCTGCCAGCATAATCACCTGATCTGATGCAAAGGGGTGCAGGGGTGTCAATTCCCTTCAACCAAGGGCCCTTTGTATTCAATAATTCTTCTTCTTCTTCTTCTTCTTCTTCTTCTTCTTCTTCTTCTTCTTCTTCAAAAAAAGGTTCAGACTCAGCACTTGAACAGATTTTTGTGAGGGCACTTAAATATCAATAAAAGAGAGAAGCTTGGGGGTGGGGTGGAAATTGCCAGTTAGCACCTTAAGGGAGGCAGTGGAAGACAGGAGGGCCTGGCATGCTCTGGTCCATGGGGTTACGAAGAGTCAGACATGGCTTGATGACTAAACAACAACAACGCACCTTAAGGTAGCTTCTGCTGCTGTCTCCAGCAAATCAGTCTTTAAACATTTTTACATTAATAATTTGGTCAGAATCGTCATCTGTCTGTTGCCAGCATCCAGCAGGTGCATTAAATTGATTTTAAAAATGGCACCATTTCTGTATCTTGCGCTCAATGTAGAGTGAGCTCTCTGCTTCTTACCTGTTACCTCTTCCAAATTGGTCTGGATGACTATAGCATTTTCTCACAGGGAAACCTAATTTGAATGGATATGAATCACAGCAGATTCAAGTGTATTTTCCCCACTACCTCATTACAGTACAGTCTAACTGAGGATGTAATATTCTATTTAAAACTAGTTTTAGTTTATTTTAATTTTAACACTGCTTGCTCAGCAGAATTGTTGTTTCCTTGTTTAGTGAATAAATAGCACAAGTGAGGACAGCCTTAATATATACAAATACTTAAATTGACTTGCTCATTAATCTTGCAGCATTAGATAGAATGCTGTTTTTCCTAATGGTATCTATTCTTAAGTTTTTGGATCTGTATAGTAAGTCTTTTTTTAAAAAAGGATGAAAGATTGTATCCTTAGCCCTCTTTTTTGATCTTGAAACAATGTATGTTATTTTGCAGTATACATAGTGACTTTAAAATGAGATAGTCAAATATCCTCTTTCCATAAAAGTAGCTTGTAGTTGTGGCTTAACACAGTTCAGTCTAGCATGTAAGAGGTTGAGTATACAGTACAGCATTTAAAAGGTTAATTGCAAGGTGAACTGTGTGCCATTGTGAAGAGGGTACTCTTGTTCCTTTTGGGAAAAGGAACATTTCCCTCGGTATTAAATTTCCACTATTGTAAATTGTTTATAGTTTTGATTTCATTGTGTGGTTTTTAGGAGCACACAACATCTTGTGATTAAGTTCATTTGAGTAATTTAGGCTATCTTATGAACTTCCTGTTCTCACCTCCTTTTAGTTCACCCCTTCCTTGCTTGTACAATAGTTCCTTCTGATGATGCAAACGTCAACCTAGCCGATTAACTTCCTTGTAGAAACTGCTGTGCTAGTGGGAGGAGAGAATACAAGTGAGAAGACTGACATGGGGAATGCGCAAAAGAAGTTCCCCAGCAAAGGGGATGGCTGTAAATCAGAACTCAAGGAAGCCCAGAAGCACAGAGACCCTTCGGAGAGTGGTATTAAAAAGGGCAAACCTGAGAAAAAGGCACCTCAAGTTTTGCAAGATTGTGAAAATGAAGCAAACGGCTATCTGAGCAGTAGCAAAAATAGTAGTGAGAACAGGGAAGTAAAATCAAAGGATGCAGAACCTTTGTCAGCTGGAGCAAGCAGACCTACACTACTCCCTCCTATTGCAGCAGTACTGAAAGCTGAAGGAAATGAATTATTTAAGAGTGGCCAATTTGGAGAGGCCATACTCAAATACTCAGAGGCAATTAAAAATGCCACTGGTTCGGGTGAGTTATAACTCCTTTATATCTATGGAAATTCTCCTGCTTATAGTTTTTAAATACCAACAAATTAAACTTCGTATCTTTATTTATTTATTATTTATTTATTTATTGGACTTATATACCGCCCCATAGCGCTACAAGCACTCTTCGGGTGGTTTACAATTTTTTAATTATACAGGCTACGCATCTTTTCACCTAATCGTTTTGTTCCAGGAAGAAAGACTGGATTGTTTTAAAATAAAAAGCAGATGGGGGGGGGGAAATCACAGCAAATAGCCTAGTGAAAAAGCCTTTTCATGTAGACTTAGTAACATAAGGGAGATGTTGCTGCATATTCATATAGTATTTGGAAGGGATACATTGATTTTTTTAAAAAAATCCTTGAAGTTTTGCTTCATCAGCAAAGATGCAGTACTGCAGTGCAACTTGGAATTTAATGAAATATTTTTATTAATAACATCAGATTTCAATAATTATATATTTCTATGATTATGTATTATTTTAGAAATTCAATGTCCAGAAGATCTAAGTATTTTGTATTCAAACAGAGCAGCATGCTATCTAAAAGAAGGGAACTGTGTTGACTGCATACAGGACTGTAACAGGTAAATGCCAACATTGGGCTGGGAGACAACACTCCCTGTGATTATGACGCATTCAAACTGGTTTTTATGGTGTTAAACAGTTTGGAGGGTGTGACATGTATTATTGCTAGTGTATGTTCTCCACCAAAATACATTGCCTATCACATCCTTGCTAAAAAAGAGGGGAAGATATGTAGAACAGCAGATGTGTTTGTCTTATAAGTATGTAATTGAAGTATGTAATTGAAATTTATAGCACATTATCATTATTTATGATTTTCTATGTATAACATTCTTGTTTCATATGTAACGTTATGGTTGATGTTATCCAGAACATTTACAAATACTTGCATCGTAATTGCAAAATAATTGCAAGTTATGTTGCAGTAATTTTAAGAAATAGACCTTGGTCACAGCATGATGCAGTGTTGTTGAGTGTATTATTGAACACTAATGCTTTCGGTCACTTCTCTCCACTAGAATATGCTGCATTGAGTACTACTGATGTTTCTAAAATGTCTTCTGTTACAGGTATTTTAACTGATATCTGTCAGTCAGACTTCAGGACTTACACAAACTGGCAGAGTCATAGATCATCTAGGCCTTGCTTCATGAAGTATAAAAATTACTGGAATTTCACTGCATCACATCAGAATGTTTAGAATAGGAGAACATTTATCTGATTTATTAAGTCTTTATTTTGGATTGCATTATTTTTCCTAACTTTTTTATTAACATTATTTGTGAAATGCAGTTCACATTTAGTAGTCAACTTCAAATAAGCTTTCAAGTGTTGAAGAGTTGGTTGTTGTGGGCTTTTCGAGCTCTTCGACCGTGTTCTGAAGGTTGTTTTTCCTAACGTTTCACCAGTCTCTGTGGCCGGTATCTTCAGAGGACAGCCCTCTGAAGATGCTGGCCACAGAGACTGGCGAAATGTTAGGAAGAACAACCTTCAGTACATGGCCAAAGAGCCCGAAAAACCCACAATAACCATTAGATCCCGGCCATGAAAGCCTTCGCGAATACATGTTGAAGAGAGTTCTGAGAAAGATTTTAATTGATCCCAGATAATTAGAATAAGAAATATGAAATAGATAAGAGGGTTTTTGGCTACATTAACCTTTATTAGTTAAGAAATCTGTAAGCTGCAAGAAATCTATGTGGCCAATATCTCTCTATGGAGCAGTATTGACAGCTACTTTAAATGTTTTTGGAAGCTCAGTGAGAATGCATGTTTAGGCTGCTCTTGAGAGAGAGTTCATGTCAGAGGGTGGCCAGATATTGAGTAGGGTGAATTTAGTGATTTGTTATCATGATTGGCTAAGTCTTACTGATTTTAACGGACTTATTCTAAGAAATATTAGTCTGGCTGCAACCTCCTGTATTTTTATCTTAAAAAAAATATTTTAGTAGGCTGATAAGTTGCCCTAATATGTACAACCTGTTACTGTTGTAAGAGGGACAGTGAATCTTCTAAAAGGGGAAGTTCCTGTCCATTGCTCCACTTGTTGCAGGGAAGGGAAGTAAAACCAGGAGTGTATGAATTCTGCAGTTGTACTGGGTAAGTGTAGAAACTGACATTGGCAAAATGGTTTAACTGTTTGAGAATCACTGTTTGTTTAGACCATGGGTGACTGCTATGATCTTCCATATGTCTTTTGAAAGCAACTTCCTTGATATCTAACTTCAGCTGATGGAAGCTGTAGGGTGCAAAAACAACAACAACAACAATAACAAAAAACAGGATGGCCATAGTCATGAATGGCTCCCTCCCAACTGTTTTGGGGTGAGGTAATTGCCTCTGAATTATTACTGGTTGCTTAAACTATCCAAGTCATGGACAGTGCTTAGTGAAGTAACTCATATCCTCTTGCTTAATAGAAATTTATTTATTTTATTTTATTTTATTTATTGGACTTATATACCGCCCCATAGCGCTACAAGCACTCTCCGGGCGGTTTACAATTTTTTTATTATACAGGCTACACATTGCCCCTCCAGCAAGCTGGGTACTCATTTTACCAACCTCGGAAGGATGGAAGGCTGAGTCAACCTTGAGCTGGCTACCTGGGATTTGAACCCCAGGTCATGAGCACAGTTTTAGCTGCAGTACAGCGTTTTAACCACTGCGCCACGAGGCTTATTCTAGAATAGTACAAGTTACTCTTTTAGTGAAAATCAAGAGAGAATGAATTGGAACTTTGCTTGTGCAACAGGATTTTTCTGGTTTTTGCCTGAACTATAATGATCCCCACCACCCCCAAAAGTGCTGCACCTGGGAGTTGGTATAACTTATTTATGTAATGCAGTGCAAGAGGCTGCAGCAGGATGAGAAAACAGAGGAATTGTCTGAGTTGTTTCATGCAGTTGGAGTTTCTTTACATTCATGCAAGTCATCTGTTGATCTGAGCCAAGGCCTTTATTGATAGGTGAAGACTTTGTCACATAACTATCCTTTGGTAGTTTAAAGTTCTGAGTTGAAGTAGTATGTATGAATAAATAACTTTTTCTTGTTATGGCCTTACTAGCTGAAATCCTGTTGCTTGGCATAGTATCTTGTAACTAGAATATGCCTATTGAATCAGTGGAACTTACAGAAGAGTTAATTTGCCAAATCCCACTGATGCAGTGGGTCTATTCTATTGTGTGTGTGTGTGTGTGTGTGTGAGAGAGAGAGAGAGAGAGAGCACTTTGCAGCCGCAGCTGCCATTGTATAAGGCAAATGTAGGTACTGCTTCATGAATCCTTTGAGTTACTGATCTACTAAGTATCACTTAGCTTTAGTCTGTTCATTGGCCATCTAATTAATAAACTTTCCAGAATACTTCCCAATGTAAATAAAAAGTAATGGAATAGCAATGGACCATCTGGTGCAAACTATCATGTTTTGCCCTTCTGAGCCCTCTTTTATTTTCAGATAAGACTGTGATTAAGATCAGAAACATACATGTTTATGATCATGTTTTAAAGTTTCTTTTATTTATGTTTTTAAATAATATCTGGTCATTTTTCCTTAGTGCACTGGAACTTCATCCTTATTCTCTTAAACCTCTTCTGCGACGAGCAATGGCCTATGAGTCTATGGAACGATACCGACAAGCATATGTTGATTATAAAACATTACTACAAATAGACAGTGGGATTCAGGCAGCAAATGATAGTGTTAACAGGTAAACATTTCTAATAATTTTATGATGAAGGTGGTGGTACTGGGACCTTAAAAACCTGCCTTGGGGGCTGTATGTGGTTCCAGGGCTACACTTTGCATGCTTGTCTTATATTCTTCTCCACAGGGAGGCATGGATGTTATCACTCATTGCTTCCTGTAATTACAGTAGTTTACAAAACATTTCATGGATAGTCATTTATATCTGTTTCAACTTAGAGCGCACAGTAGTTGTATAGAGTTTCTGCTTTTTGTATTACTTTGGTGACCTTTCAGCTTGAGGTTATGGATGAAGAGCATGGATGTAACAGGCCCATTATGTACTGACAGTCTTTAATCTTGCTAATACAGTCTGGTAAATTAAAGCAGGCAAAGGTGGAAGTATTGGTTGGTTGCATGCTTCTTTAAAGGAAGGCAGAGATTTGACTATCCTAAAGGAAGCCGTAGTAAGGTCTTTGCTGAAACAGCTATACTGGGTGGACTGTGATTGGCTTTTGTCCAGACTGCTGCATTGGTTAATACTTGTTTTATCATGTGTTGGCTGACCCAGTTCCAAGATCCTTTTAAACAATATTCAGATGTTACACAACCCAGTGAGACAGTCCTGTGCCTTCTACTGTTGTGTTCTTCACAATTTCAAAACTGGATCCCATCTTAAGATACTTGCTACATTTGAGCAGGAATCCAGATTTTCCAGATGCGTGTAGAGCCTATACACAAGCACAATCTTTTCCTTTGTTCAGACCAAATGCTGAAATAATGAAAAATGCTATAAATGCAGGGCTAGATGTTCTCTAATTATGTTTTCCTTGCTAGGTTGCATAAGGCCTGAATAGGGCTTTAGTCTGCTTTCTGGTCTGGTCTTGCAGAAGAGTCTGCCTGAATAGTTTACCTACACCAGAAAGTAAATGGAAGAGTTTTAGTTCTGCTGAATTTTTCAGAGGCTGGGGTGGGTGGAGGACAATTCTCCAGTGTTTAAAATTATTCTTGGTTGATAGGTTCCATGTGTTTGACTTAGTGAATTACTTTCAGCTTCTGCAATTCTGCAGAATTCTATTTTGTCCCTTCTTTCTCACCATTTACACAGAATGACTGAAGGTTTGATTACATTGACAAAGAATACAGGAAATGCTCCAGAATTGGGTCGATTTGATTTGCATTATTTTCCATGACATTAAAGTCAATGTGAATTATTCTGGATATCAAAATGCTAATATTGTTTATTTTTGTATGATGATCAAATCATATAAAAATGATACTTCTTTGGATTTTCAGGCATCGCTGAAAATCCAAGCCAGAAGTGCTATTAGTGGGTATGAAAGCTGATGAATAATACTGTGTCCAGTTTTGGGCACCACAGTTTAGGAAGGGTAGTGGGAAGCTGGAATGGTAGATGTGTAATCTGCCACCAGGACCATACTCAAAGTCTTAGTAATTCAGTTGAACTCACTAGAATCTGAACTCCTCCTCATAGCCTTTAAGAGTTGAGGGCCATTATTATGTCACAATGAGATAGTAAATTAGGGTTTTGTGGTAGAGCCTTATAGAAATTAATAAATCATGAATCATACAGGTAATCTTTTCTAACTTTATGGATAAAGATACTGTTTTACATTAGAGTTCACCTACAGAATTCTAACTGTGCTGTAATTAAGAGTGCTAGAATGCATAGAGTGTAAAAATAATTGCTGGGGAACCCTTTCTTCTTTAGACTATTTTCAGATGTAAATGTCTCTGTATGTCTATTACTTTTCCTAATACTCAGTGTTCTGGTCATAAATTACAAACCATTTCTCTTGAACAACCCTATTTGCTTTGGTATGGTGTGGAAGGAACTCTTATTTTGCCAAGGTTGGAGACAGATGTTGGTTCATGCAAATGGATTGGGAGAAGCAAAATTCCCTGTCCTTGCTTCCCATAACAGCCACTCCAGTTCCGTGGAAATAATGCAATGGTAGTCAGATGACCCTGTGGAATGGGGTGAGATGTGATAAGATGAAGGATGAATCCCTCAAAGTGTGAGAGACCTCTTATACATCCAGCTTTTTTAATAACTGTTTAATCTGTAATTTATTGTCTTTTGACTTTTATTTATTTTAACATTGTGAGCTGCCTTGGGTCCCCTCACCAGAAAAATAATACCCTACAAATGATGCAAAATGAATGAATAAATAAAATGTGGGTATGAAAGGGCTTACATTTGGATGTACTGAGGGAGCAGAATATGGGAGCTGAGATCTGCTGTGAATTTAGCTTTCAGAGTCCACACATTCTAAACCACGTGGTTCATATATTTATGAAAAAAATACACTTAATTGCTTTGTTTGATGAAGTGACAAAATAATTTAATGTAGTATGAATCTCCAAATACGTTAAATCTCTAGTGTTTTGCCCAGATGATTTACTCTTTCTGTGAAGTTACAGAAGCCTTTACAATAGGTTACCTCTCTCTGACTATGCTATTTTAAGTACTGCTTTAAGTACCACTACTTCCTCTAAGTGCCAGTCGTTAAGCATATAATATAATGCAAGGATGTAGCTTCTCAACAGCCGTACAAGCTCGGGGTCAGCTAACCTTCCCTGTTTCCATACTGCTTAACTCTAGCCACTCACTTGTGGTTGTAAATTCTATAAAATATATGACTCTTACAATAATCTTTAACTGTTAATTGTTCATAGTTTATCTAAAGAATAGCATAAGTTCATGACATCTTGGGATTTTAATGTGCCATCATCTCCATTTTTTAAGAGTTTAGCATTTCTATAATAAATAATATGGGCCCTTTTTGTTTTTGTTTTTCATGCATTTCACAAAATCATGGAGTATCTAATCTTCAAATAGTTAAGACATGTTGCTGTCATTTGCTGATTATAAAAATTACTTCAGGGCATCTTGAACTGTGTATTGTACTCTAAGCCTAGTATTATTCCATGTTCTTCTTTTTTAATAACCTTTGTGGTTCACTTAGAAGTTTATAAAATAAGTGCCCACCTACCATCTCTTAACAGCTAAGGCATAGGTAGTCTATAGTAAGATACTATATTGTAGGCACTCTTGATTAAGAACACGAAAAGTGCCTTTGGAAGAAGCCCAGTTTTAGGTGGATCCCACTATCTGTTAACTAGTGGTTCTTCTGTGGACTGCTGTCTATCTCCTGTTCATCTGTATTCTAGGCAGTATTTTTTCTTTGAATATCAAAACTAAGATCACTTTTTGTCAGAATTGCTTGTAAGTAATGTCTGCACATGTAAGTAATTTCATGCTTTATTTTATGTTTTCTAGAGAGATGTACAACATTAATGACATACGCATCATTTCTTGAGTGCATGATGTATTTAAGTGTAATGTTTAGATAAACAGAAATTATGTTCAGCATTTGATATGAAAAGTTTTATTTTGTAATCTCATCTGAAACATAATGCAAAACTTGCATGGCATAACATTTGATTTCCCTGCTTTTCATTTTGTTTCCATTTAGACAGTTTCAAAATTGTCTCAAATACATTCTGGCTGAGTGCTTGTTCTTTATGTTCCGTTATTCTTAAGGTGATAACTTCCTCCCCCCAAATCTCTAGGTCTTGACTAACCCTTTTGCTTCACCTCTTATTACTCCTGCTTTCCTGGTAGCCAGTCTCCTTATTTCAACTGCTTCCTTCTCCTCCTGCTGGTAATTCCTTTGCAGCTTGCAAAGTATTTGTTTCTGGACTGTTTAAACTTGACCTGAACATGTATATATACATGAAAAATGCTCTTTTAGAAGACATTGGAATGCTTTCCTCTGTTGTGCTCCTAAAATAATGCTGTTAAAGGGAACATTTATCACTTCTGTTTTCTGTCAGCTTCTAAAAATTATGAGTAAAACTTAACTAAAACAAAACTTTCATACTTCAGAGACAAATTGTTTCACTGTCTTTCTTATTCAAACTTTGTGACTTTGGGGAAATTCTTGTAAGAAACTAACAGAGCTGAAACTCACACTCCTCTCTAGTAATATTCTCCAGCTTTACAAAATAAGAGAGGAATTTGACTAAATCCAGGTTAATTTGTGTATATTACCCAGTTTACTGGATTTGAATGAGATCTTTTATCTCATAACCACTGCAGTACAAGCTTAAAAGCTGTGTTGAAATGTTAAAGCTTGTATGTGAGTGAATCTGTGTTAAAAGGCTGAATAGCCAATGGAAATGCTTTGTTCATTCTAAACAAAAAATGGGTAGGTACAATAAATGTTTAAAAATTAAAATATATCATTTAACAATACAGTATAGTGCTCCTTAAATTGTCTTTGTTTTGACTTTTTCTCTATGGGAATAATCTTCTATTAATTTAATTTTTAAAAAACTTCCATTTTTTTTAGAATAACAAGAACTTTGATAGATCAAGATGGCCCAAACTGGAGGGAGAAGTTATCCCCAATACCTGTTGTTCCTGCGTCTGCTCAGTTACACTGGTGGGATGGTAAAAACTTTACTTCAGAGACAAAGCAGAGGGAATTTGCAGCAAGGCATGGAGATCATCTACAGATTTCTAGTATGTATTTCAGTGTAGAGTGATTTAAAACACTTGCTATGTAGGTTATTGTTTTAATAGAAATGACTGTTAGAACTTTTATTGAGAAAGACATGAGCTATATTTGAGAATATGGGTTAGTATGCAAAGAGGTTCATGTAACTTTCACGTACAAGCTAGAGTTTCCAGCCTTCCTGTCACAAAACATGTCCAGAAATTCAGAACATTTCCTAGAGCTGCTCCAGGCAGAATTCAAAAGGCTGCCTCTAGAAGCAAGAACTAGAATAGCTTTTCTCTCCCCACCTTTCTTTTTCTACTTTTTCAGCCAATATCTTAGCTCAACTTCCTTGAACTACATATTTAATTGCCAAATGTGTACACCTGACCAGTGTTTGGTTCTTTGAACATTTTTTTCTACTTTTGCGGTTGGAAGCAAGACTATACCAGAGAAAGTAATGGAGAAGTGTAGCAGCGAATGGACATCAACATGCCTGCTCCCACCCTGCCCATATGCATACAGTGGTGACAGGAATTTGCAAATCCTATGCCTGCATGCTGTGACTTAATTGAAAACAACCCCATACAAAATTAGACTTCTAAAAAACTCCCACTAGGTTCATTGAAGAGACCTTTTCCAAGCCTAATGATGAAATGAAGTGGGAGGTTCATTTTCATCTGTTTGTGTTGCATTTATGTGCTCATGAATTGACATGCTCACTTAAACTTAGCCTTATCTACTTCTTGCTCTGATCCTACTCACTTTTGCAGAGGAGCATCCATCTTTGGCATGCAATCGGAGAAAAATTAGCCACAAAGGAATGTGAATTTTAAGTCAGAAAGTTTCCTCACTTGTGCTTTAATGAATGAAGAAGCACATATTCTGTGAATTCCAGTCCTGCTTTCTGAGTGATACAAAGCTAGTACAATAAGATTGTGTCTGTTTAAGACTGCTATTAGTGAATGGACATCTCTTTACCTGTGTTGGGAAACAGGTGAAAACCCAGACGAAATGTTCAAGATTCTTAAGAACAAAGGGAATGAATTTGTGAAAAAAGGTAACTTTGAAGAAGCATTAAAGAAATATAATGAGTGCATAAAGTTAAATTCCCAGGAACTGACAGTCTATACTAACAGGTAAGAAGACCTCTAAAATCTGTAATCACCTTCATTCAAATCATTAGCATTTATCTTTAATTTGATTGGGAAATGGGTTGTATCCCTTACTTACTTACTTACTTACTTACTTACATTTCTGTCCTGCTCAACTAATAGCAAAGCCACTACTCTGGGTGGCTAACAGAGGAACATGAAAATAGCATAATAATTGAAATAAAAACAACAAAAGAAAAAAAAGTCAGAAAATTCAGAAAAAGGATCATGGTAGAACTATTATATTTTCTGTATCGATAATAAATAAATAAAATTAAAATAATAAATTAATAGGCAGCTGGCAAATTTGGAATGGAAGTAGTCAAAAACAGGAAACAAATTTTTAAAAAATTAATTAAAATTACTTAATCTGGGGCAAGGCTATGAAAAGGCTTGTGAAAAGAGCCAGCCCTTGCCTCCTAAAACCAAGGAAGAACTGGGCCAGTTGCACCTCTGATGGGAGAGAATCTGTGTTACCTGTTAGTCTGCCCTCATAATATTTGTAGTTTTTAAATTCAAGGTGGACTATAAAATCTTTGGGCAGATAATCTGTATGTTGCCTTTCAAACCAAACTGCATAGGTGCTTTTATCCATCTCTTCATTTACATATAGTAGATTTAATAGGTGTTTCCAGGACTTGTGGGTGCTACAATATGTTTTTTTTTTTCTGGAATGTATTAGGGCCCTTTGTTATTTAAAGCTGTTTCAGTATGAACAGGCCGAAAAGGATTGTGATTATGTTCTTCATAGAGATGACTCAAATATAAAAGCTTTATACAGAAGAGCTCTAGCACACAAAGGATTAAAGGTAAGGAAAGGCAGCAGCCTGCCTGTCATTTGCTCATTTTAACAGTAATCATAGATATTTAAAGTATGTAAGTGCAACAGAAGTGGAAGGTCATGTTTAAATAAACAAAAAGAGAGAGCTCTAAATATGAAGATAACTTTTTTTAAAGAAGGGAAGAAGAGCATGAATGATGCAGATTTTGGTTGACTGAGGGTGAGAATTTGGGTATGAATCAGGTGTGTCATTTGTGGAGGACCTCTTGGCCATGTACTGTGCTGACCATAATAAATACTACCATAGCTTTTTCCTTTACTGGCAGAGAAAGTTAAGAACCCAGAGCCCCTCTGTTGCTAGCCACAATGTAAGATGAAGTGCAACAGAAACCAAGAGTCAGGAGAGTTATGGAACATGTTGTCTTGGGGGCATTTTCGTCAGAGATGGAGATTCTGAGGTGATGAGAAGCAGTTTTAGAAATCCATCTGCAGACAGACCATGTAGCAACATTTAGAGAAAGATTAACCAACTTGTTCAGATGTGATGACTTGTTAAAGGAGTCTTTTTTGTTTGAGTCATGAATTGACTAATCTCCATTTAAGGACCAATTATAATAATCATAATACAGTGGTGCCTCGCTTTACGATTGCCCTGCATTACGATAAAACTGCATCACGATGATCTTTTTGCGATAGCAATTGCGATCGCAAAACGATGGTCTGAATGGGGTTTTTTCGCTTTGCGATGATCGGTTCCCTGCTTCAGGAACCAATTCTTCGCAAAACGACGATTTTCGGACAGCTGATTGGCAGTTTCAAAATGGCTGCCGGGTAAATAAAATGGCCCACCGTTGTGTTTAGGGATGGATTCCTCGCAAGACAGCCACCGAAAATGGCCGCCCTATGGAGGATCTTCACTGGACAGTGAGTTTCCAGCCCATTGGAACACATTGAAGGGGTTTCAGTGCGTTTCAATGGGCTTTTTATTTTCGCATTACAACGTTTTCGTTCTACAGCGATTTTGTTGGAACGAATTAATGTCGTACTGTGAGACACCACTGTACTATGAGAGAATAACTGAGACAAATAGGTAAGATAAGTTGTATTGTCACCTGTGAAAGTAAGGAACAAAAAATGAGGTTGAGGTACTGATAAAGGTTGAAATAAAATTCCCAATGTGTCTTTTTTTGGCTCTCTCCCTCCAACATGCCTCCCCATAGCTCTTGACTGTTAATGTTCCACCTTCACTGAACTGCTTCTCCAATGCTCTTGTCCCTGGCTCCTCGCTAGGAGTGTCCAGGTGATCTCAGATCGTGTAATGACTGAGAAAACACTCTTAAAACTAGGTCTGTGGTTACATTTATCCTGTTCCCCCAGGACAAATGAAGAAACATTCTTTCCACTGGAGTTAATGAGGTGGTTTTTCCTGTCTTGCTGTGCTCCTTCAGTTTCATTGTCTCCTGTATAGAGTGCTGGAAAATGGGGACTGTTGCTTGGTTCCCCAAGTATCACAGCATGCACTTCTTTCGTCATGTTATTTATACGGTGAAGCAAGGGTGGAATGCTTTGCTATTTGTGTTGTCCCACCACCTCAAACACCACTGAAAGGGTTCTCTCAATTTGTAGCCTGAAAACAGAGTAGAGAAGTAAGAAGGGCAATTTTAGCTGTGCCCTGCTATCATTTAGGATCATGCCATACTTTACAGAACTCTTTCTCCAACCCTACCCCCAGTAAGCACTCTCTATTATGCCAAGAGTAAATGGATGTTGCAAGGAATGTAGTAGATAGGTTGTATTTCATCATAGAAGGCAACCCCTTCTCCAACTTGAAGAATATGTGTAAGTACTATTCATAAGTTACATGCAAACATGTACATACAGTTCCTTGAGAGAAGAGGATTTTGAAGTAGATAGTCAAGTAGGTAAATGATATCTTCATTTTATTGTGAGCTGCTCATAACTAGAATGGATTAATATCAATCGTACGTATACAGTGGTGCCTTGCATTGCGACGTTAATTCGTTCCGCAAAAATCGCTGCAGAACAAAAACGTCGCAATGCAAAATAAAAAAGCCCATAGAAACGCATTGAAACCCCTTCAATGCGTTCCTATGGGCTGGAAACTCACCGTTCAGCGAAGATCCCCAGAAACGCAGCCATGTTCGCTGCCTGATAAGCGAGGAATCCATCCCAGAAAACAGCGGGCGGCCATTTTGTTTACCCAGTGGCCATTTTAAAACTGCCAATCAGCTGTTAAAAAATCATCGCTTTGCGATGCTCGGTTCCCGAAGCAGGGAACCAATCATCGCAAAGCGAAAGTCCCCTACAGGGAACATCGCAAATAGATCGCTTTTGCAATTGCAAAAAAGTGTCTCAAAGTGATTTTGTCGCTAAATGGAGCGATCGCTATGCGAGGCACCACTGTATATCAATATGTAGCCACTAATTTCTTTGAAGTGTGTCATAGCATTTCATTTTGTTTTTATCGCTTAATTAAAATATTTATACACTGCCCCATAATATACAGTTCTGTGGGTACCTTATATGGGAGTGCTGATAGCAAAGTGAGTAAAACAAATGTGAAGGTCTAAATAAATTACTGGAGTGGATGCCTTATAAGGTAATCAGTAAATTTCAACAATCATTTTGTAGTCTATTGTATGTGTAAAACCCATCTACACCGAAACTGCCCTGCTCCCAGTCCTTACAGACAAACGCCTTATGCATTTGTACCCACTCAGACATAAGGCTTCACCTTCTCTAGTTGATACTTGAATAAATTCAGTGCAATATACATAACATTCTCTTTATCATAAAGATAAAGTTATGCTGAGAACCATACTATCACATTCGTCTTACAAATCATGTGAAGAATTGAAAGAATACAGACTGTTTGGCTGCACTGTTTCCATACCTTTTCTTATTGATGCTTTGCAGAAAAAAAACTGCCTCAGCCTTGATTTTGTTTCAGTTTTTTTATCTAAATGCTTTCTTTGGGAACCACTTTTAAGGGCCTTCTGATAGTCTCAAATGATTCTTCCTTCATAAAATTCCCAGTTGCTTGGGTGGTACCATACTTCTATAGGTTACATGGATAGTGAGGGTTGGGATGAAAAACAAAGGCAGCCATCATTTCCCTTTTCCATGTGAAACAGAATTCTGGATAGCAACCTATTCCATCACCATACTAGTGGGCATATAAAAACAGGAAATACTGCCAACTTAGAGGCTTAGTGAGGATTTATTGATAGCTTGTGGTCTGCCGCTGCTGTGCTGCCAAATTTCAATGATAAGCTAGGGGTTGGGGCTCTCTTAAAACACACACAAAACACTAATTTTAATTGGCAGCTACCCAATTTCTCTGTGAATCTTAGTGACAAACTGAAAAAACTTTTAAAGGAAGTATTTTATTCTTTCTTTTATGGCTCCAATAACATTTGGTGGCATGAAATTCAGCATTGCAGCTATTTGGGAAGCTTTGGGGTAGATATAATTTATGGGCTATGTGCTGCCTACACCCGCCAAGACGATTCAACCACTAGTCTAACAGCTGGGACACATCTGTAAATTCAGTAATCCTAGCCTAAATTCTTATCACAAAGTCTTTGTTATCTTAATATTTTTTCCTGACTATTTACAAGTACTGTAACCTATGTTATTTAGTTTATTTAGGCAATAATTTACTTTTTTACATTTCAGAACTACAAAGCCAGTATTGATGATCTGACTAAAGTTCTTCTAATAAATCCAAGTATTGCTGAAGCAAGTAAGGAGCTGCAAGAAGTAACTATGTTGCTTAAACTAAAAAAGGAAGTTACAGACAACAAGCAAGAAAAGCAAAGGAAAAAAATTGAAATACAAGAGGTATTCCATTTTTAAAAAAGCAGAGAAGCCTAACTTACTCTTAAATCTAGTCTTCCCTTTGGAACTACCAGGCAGTTAAGATCTAGCCAGGGGGCCCTTTTGAAAGAGCTGTCTCTCAAGGAGGTAAGAGGGATGCCTTGTAGACAAAGGGACAGACTATGGAACGCCATCCCAATGGAGATTCATCTGGCGCTGGCGCTGATGACATTTTGGTGCCCAGTCAAAACCTTCCTGTTCCAGAAGGCTTTTAATTGAAATAATATCAACTGTGGGTCCTGATGGCATTTTTTAGAGTATATATTTTAATTGTTTTATCTTTTTTACTGTATTTTAATTGTTGTAAGGCGCCCAGAGCCCTTCGAGTAATGTGGGCAATATATAAGATAGATAGATAGATAGATAGATAGATAGATAGATAGATAGATAGATAGATAGATAGATAGATAGATAGATAGATAGATAGATAGATAGATAGATAGATAGATAGATTCATATGAAATTTGGTGCAACAATTCCCAAGTATTTTTTTCAAAACTCACATACAATTTGTATATTATGTGGATTGTGCAATAGCAGTTTTAGGGCTCTTTCAGAGCATACAATGGAAACCAGGTCATTAGGCTGGATTTTGCTTAGGGTGTTCTAGGTTATGCTCCATTAAAAATGATCCTTTATTGTTGTTACGGTGTTACTAGCTGCCAGGTGATTGACCTAGTACATACTGTACATTACATTAAAATAAATTATGTTCTTCAGTTCCAAAGTTCTAAAAATGGTTTATAAGTAGACATAAACAGTTACTGCCATCAAGCATACAAACTAGAAAGATGTAATAGAAGAGGAATAGGAGATAAAGAGGAAATGACGAAAAGAAGGTGTGGAAATCTTTCTGAAGTTACTGTACGTGGTTCTTCTTCGTGGTCTCTGTGAATGCACACAATTGGGTTGTTCTGTTCCTGTGCAGGACCTCTCAGAAGTTTCTAGAGCTGAAAGATAATTGATTAGTCGGATGTTCCCCTGTGGAGCACATGCTCCACCTACTCAAACTCCCCTCAGTTCCTTTTAGCCACCACTTCATCTGGACCTATTTCAGAACATTAGAGTCATTGTATTTCTGAGAGCATTCCTTTATTTCTTCTTCAATCATCTTTATTGTTGGATGTTTCCCCTGTTTATTCTATGTTCTCCCCTTTAGATTATCCAAATCTAGTTTTTTTTTTCTTCCTGCGTTTTTCTCCCCCAACTACTGTTCCCTTCTCCCTTTTTCCTAGCTTTTATGACCCTTCCAGGGCCTTTCAAGTGGTCCATGCTCTGCACAAATAAGATCCCGCTCACTGACATTCATGACCATTGCATCAAACACACTCTTGCCCCGAATGTAAAAAACTTAACGAAACCTTTGTGCTGTTCACCCCTCGTGCCCCTTGCTTGACTGTCAAGGCTCAGAGCACATGAAGGCAAACAATCCCCTCTTTTACGCTGCTGCCAGCAGGTGATCACTAAATCGCCCTTACTTCAGGAAGATTCAGGTTCACACTTCAAGGTCTTTTAAATAGAACTTTTGTTTATTGATTACAGTTATTGATAGTGATTCATGGATTTCTTTAAGTCAATTTATTATTAACATCAGTCCTTTATCTGATAATACACTCCTAACTCTAATCATACCTCAGAATTTCCCAAACTCCACACTCTATCCCCTCCTCTCTCTCATACTCCACTCTTACTGACTCTGACTCTCTGACTCCACCTCTTATAGCATCTCTCTTGGCTCCGCCTCTCAGCAACATTATGCATGAACCATTACATAACAAAACATGAACCATTGACCTAACAAATGGGGAACGCTACAACCCGCTCTTAAACTGCGACTACAAAGACTTCGTTCGTACCTCTGGGGAAAATCTCTTAATCTGACCCCCATGGATCCAGTGACGTCTCCACGTCCAGAACATTGAGAAACCCTTCAAGCCCTACAACTCCTTCCCCTCGTCAGAAGGACCATTCAAAGTCGGCTTCGAGGTCGGGCTCGACGTCCACGTTAAAAACTCTGATTTGTCCTGATGATTCTTCTAAGAAAACGAAAGATAGGACGAAACCTAAAAAGACCAAAAAAACTTTCAAATCAACTCATATAGATCCACCTCAATCGGTAATTCCATCTCTGATCCTTGAAGAATCATCTAGCCTGGACTCTATCTCCAATTGACATGACCCTACTTTGACACCGGCTCAGGCTGCAACCTCAGTTGTTAGCCTCTCACTGAGCATTGGCCTATCTCCGGCTGATATTCATTCCAGTCTGGTCTCGGCCCATTCAAGCCCTAGATCACCAGGGCGGGCAGTACCTATTCAGATCTCTGGCTTGGAATTGTCTCAACACTCTCCTTGCAAACACTGGCAAAAGAGACGACATCTCTCATCCGTGCATCATGATCTCCTGGATAGGGAATTCTGACGAGTAGTCCAGATAGGCGGGGTATAAATCAAACAAACAAACAAACAAACTATCCTGAACCAACTCGCTACTCAGCCAGAGATGATTATGGGGATCCTTACCATTATGACCCCTACTATCGTGAGGATCCAACTGAACATATCTATTACGATGAGCCCAAGAGAGTGAGATACAGTGGTGCCTCGCAAGATGAATTTAATTCGTTCTGCGGTTAATGTTGTCTTGTGAAATGCGTTTTCACATAGGAATGCACTGAAATCTAATTAATGCATTCCTATGGGCACAAAAAGTCAGAACAAAGTCAAATTTGGTTTACAAAGGGTTTATTAAGTGCTCTTTAAAGCCATACATATTGTGAAGATGATTTTAAAAAATTCAATCAAAAAACTTTAATTTTTTAAACATAATAGAAAAACATAAAAATCAGCAAACATGAGGCAGGAACAAAAAACAGAAAACATTCTTCTTGCGAAGCACCACCATAGGAACATTTGTCTTGCGACATCAACCCTATAGCCAAAACCATTTGTCTTGTGAGTTTTTGTCCTGCGAGGCACCACTGTATGTTTGTCCACCTCTATATTCACCCTCCGTATCACCATCACCACCATGACATTGACATCGTTCTCCTTCTGCATATCTGACATTGACCCACCATATGTCGAGCCGTACTAAATCAGCTCTCAAACGAACTCTCCCTCCTCCACTTTCTCCAACTCAGTCTAAATGGACCAAACACTGTTCCAGACCATCCTGTACATCTTTCCATGTCACTACTACTTACAAAGGACCTCCCCCTACTCCTCCTGACATCGAACAGTCTTCCGTACCACACCGGCCTCCAACTCAACACCCACCACCACCATTACAAACATCAGCAGTCAGATCTACACACCGATTACCATCTTCTGAATCCTCTCCTTCTGTTCAAGATTTCTGATGCTTCTCAAGAATCACCTTCGAACTTGCCTACTCCCTTTTCCAATATGGTTCCAGACCATCCTGTACATCTTTCCATGTCACTACTACTTACAAAGGACCTCCCCCTACTCCTCCTGACATCGAACAGTCTTCCGTACCACACCGGCCTCCAACTGAACACCCACCACCACCATTACAAACATCAGCAGTCAGATCTACACACCGATTACCATCTTCTGAATCCTCTCCTTCTGTTCAAGATTTCTGATGCTTCTCAAGAATCACCTTCGAACTTGCCTACTCCCTTTTCCAATATGGCTGAAACCCACCCGCCTTCTCCATCAGAGGACTTCACGTCCTACTCCCGGCTTGCCACACGAATGGCAAAATCCCTTGAACTAGATGTTGAAGAACCACCATCTCAGGAGAAGGACTTGGTCTTTGATGAACTAAATCAAGACAAGACACCCCCCAATTAGCCTCTCATTCATTCCTCCAATGCTCGAGTTGGTAAATGAATCTTGGGATAAGCCCCTTCATCTTTGCAAATTTCAAGACGTGCCGAGAATCATTATAAGACCCATGGTCCGGATACAGCTTTTCTCTTTAAACATCCCGCAGTGAACTCAATCATAGTAGAATCTAATCAATCAAGAGCATGGAACAAAACATTGGTAGCCCCTACTAACCAAGAAGGGAGAAAATTCGACATCTTAGGGAGGCGCCTGTACTCTCTTATATCCTTTCTTATGAGGGTCGGCAATTACCAGGCCACAATGGGTGCATACCAGACAGATTCTACCCATTCTTCAAGCCGCACCGGACGCTTCCAAAACTGAAGCTCTAAATATCCATGCCAAGGTCACAACAGAGCTAAGCAACAGAGAATTGTTTCAGGTGATGCAGATGCCGCATTTAAGGTTATGTCAACCTCTATCGCCTTGAGACGTCATGCTGAGGTCGGCGGGCACCTCTGACTATGCCAGATCATGAATTGAAGACCTTCCATTTGAGGGAGTTGGTCTCTTCAATGCAAAAACTGATGAAGTGACAGAGAATCTTCATAAACTCTGAAAGACTGCACGTTCATATTATACCCAACAGCAGCCTTACCAATATCAGCACCCTCAATTTCGCAGACAACCATTCTTCCAGCAACCTTTTCAGTCCTACCAACATCCATACTGACCATACAAGCCACCATCTCTGATCGATCATACTCCGGCCTGGCGACATCTTCAACACCTATCTTCCGTCCTCAATAACAACAGACACGTCAACAACCCTTTCGACGCCCACAAAAAAAAGGTAAGCAATATTCATAGAGCTTTTCCATCTTCCTTTCAAACTAGACTACATCTTTTCCTCAACTCCTGGTGTCGAACTACTAACAAACAGTGGGTTCTTTCTATTATTCAAAATGGTTATTTTATTGAATTTAAATGTACTCCATCTTCTGGCACCATTAGGACAACTCCGTATTCATTGGCTCTTCAACAAGAAATTTCCCTTCTTCTCCAAAAACAAACTATATATATAGTCCCTCTATCCACCCTCCATGAAGGAGGATATTCAAGATATTTTACAGTACCGAAAAAAGACGGAGGACTCCGCCCTATTCTTGACCTTTGAAAGCTCAGTAAGTTCATTCAGCCTAAACGCTTCAGAAAGCTCACGCTCAACACTATTATCAGTCTCCTTTCACAGGGGGATTGGTTTGTTGTTAGCGACCTTCAAGACGCGTACTTTCACATCTCTATCCATCCGTATTACCACAAATTCCTCCGATTCCAATTCGACACCGTCTCATACTAATTCTGCTCCCTCCCATTCCGTCTCTTTAGGGCACCGAGGACCTTCACCAAACGCATGGCACTGGTTGCAGCCTATCTCCATTTTCAAGGTGTCACCATATTTCCTTATATAAACTGGCTGATAGTTGCCACTTCCTACCACAAAGCCGTCAGAACCACTCAATTCATTCTTGATAAGCTTCGAGACCTTGGACTCAAGGTGAATCTTGCCAAATCCCATCTCGAACCATCACAAACCGCCAATTATATTGGAGTGTACTTCGATTCCCTACAAGTGAGGGCCTTCATCTTTAAGGAGAAGATGGTCAAATTAATAAGAGCAATATAACCTTTTTGACTTCTAGCCTTGGTATAAGCATGTCAAACCCAACACCTCCTCGGTCTCATGGTTTCCACAACTGCCATTATCCAACATGCTTGGCTGAAAATGAGGTCCCTCCAGTCATGGTATCTGTCACTCTTCGATCCCATGCCAGGCGTCCTGTCCAAGCGTCTCACAGTGACTTACGAGCTTGCCCATCAGCTCACTTGGTGGATGTTTCTTCCACATCTACTTGTCAGAAGACCTTTTCTACTACTTCAGCTCACAATACAAGTCAGCACCGACACCAGCCCCTCGGGCTGGGGGGCACATTGTCAGCATCACAGACAAGAACAGTTATTACACATAAATAACCTTGAACTTTTAGCAATCATCAAGGCTTTTCACACCTTACTCATCATTGCAGGGCAAGCTGTACAACTGGCTACAGACAATGCAACAGCCCTTTATTACATGAACAAACAGGGAGGCATGCACTCCCTCTCATTACTATACCTGGCGTTCGAGCTCTGGGAGTGGCGTTACCTACACCACATTTTCCCAGTAGCAGTACACGTCTCCACAGACAACAATCAACTTGCAGACCATCTCAGTCGCCTCAGCACAAGAACACACAAGTAATCATTGGATGACAATGTTTTTGATCTTCTCTGCCACCAGTGGGAGTTCCCGTCCATCAATGTCTTCGCCTCCAAGACCAACGCCAAGTGTCACCGATATTGCTCCTGTGCCGGTACCAGCAAGAACTCACTAGGAGATGCCTTTATGATAGATTGGAATGACAAATTCCTCTACCTCTTCCCTCCAATACCACTCATTCAACGCACCATTCTTCGGCTTCTTTAATTTCACTCGAATACCATACTTCTCGCCCTGTGGTGGCCACGACAACAATGTTTCATGCACCCAAGGTTGATGTCGACAGATGTTCTCCATCTCCCCTCGATACCCAATCTTCTCACCCAGGACAACAAGAAAGTTAACCATCCAGACATAGACCCTTTGAACCTGACAGCATGGAGAATACTCCCACCATAAGAGACATATTTGAGCGAGCTCAAAAAACTTCAACTCAACTTCTGTATTGGAGTAAATTGAGAGTTTTCCTATCCTTTGTCAACTCCCACAACTTACCTGCAATCCCTGTTTCTTTGTACTTACCTTTATCCTTCATCTCTTTCATCTCGGACTATCTCATTCTATCTTGAAGGTTTATACCTCTGCTATTGTGGTGCACCAGCTGCTTCATTCCGATTCTGCTAAGCTTTTTTCCCACCCAACTTTGGAAAAATTCCTCAAGGGACTCCACAATATTCGCCCGTCACATCAACATCCTCTTCCACAGTGGTCCTTACAGCTTGTTCTCAATGCACTTACTTGACCACCCTTTGAACCAATGGCTACTGCTAATTTTAAATTACTTTCACTGAAAATGTTGTTCCTCATAGCAATAACATCTGCTAAACGCACTAGCGAACTTGCTGCCCTCAGATCCAACCTACCTTTCCTCCAGTTTCACCCAGATAAAGTAACCCTCTATCTTGATGTATCGTTTTAACCTAAAGTTATCTCTGAATTTCATCTTAATCAGCCATACTCTGTTCCCTTCTCCTTACACCACTTGAGCACATGCTCCACATGCTTGATATAAGATGCTATCTGGCCTTCTACATTGATAGGACTAAGTAATTTAGAAAATCACCATGACTTTTTCTGTTTCCATGGTCCTCATAAAGGTGCTCCAGGTTCACCTCAAACTATCTCTCGATGGATTATTCAAACTATTTCATTGGCATATGAATTGACAGGCAAAACACCGCCTGAACATTTGAAGGCCTATTCTACTAGAGGGTTGTCCACCTCTACTGCACTACACTGTGGAGTTGAGCCTCCTCACATCTGCTGTGCAGCTACATGGTCTATTCCATCGACTTTCGTGAGACATTACCGTCTCAACAACCAGGCAAAAAATGATGCTGCCTTTGGCAAAGCTGTTTTGTCTTCTCTTCTACCGTGATTTCCCACCATCTGGTAAGTGAGCTTGCCAGTCACCCAATTGTGTGCATTCACAGAGACCCCGAAGAAGAAAGAGAGGTTACCTACCTGTAACCATGGTTCTTCTAGTGATCCTCTGTGAATCCACACATCCCACCCATCCTCCCCTCTGTCTGTCACATTGTCCTTTTTAATATAGCCTTTTGACAGCGGCAGACTCTTATAGGAACTGAGGGGACTTTGGGTGGGTGAAGCATCCATTCCACGGAGTAACGTCCCACTAATCAATTATCTTTAAGCTCTAGAAACTTCTGAGAGCTACTGCGCAGGCACAGAACAACCCAATTGTGTGGATTCACAGAGGACCACTAGAAGAACCATGGTTACAGGTAGGTAGCCGCTCTTTCCTGTAATGGCCAGTTGTGATTTTTTTGTATATCTGAGTTATACACTCACAAGGAGGGGCCCCCAGGAAAGTTCTCCCAGACACCTAGAACCACCAGAAAGCACATAGAAGTTTCTACAGACTCTCCTCTACAATCCCTCCAAGTTTGGTGAAGATTGGGTTTGCAACATCCAAGTTATACAACCCAATCTTCACCAAACATGAAGGGATTGTAGAGGAGAGTTATGGGAAGCGGCTCTTTGATTTAGGCATTTCTATGTGCTTGGGAGGCCCTTTAATAGCCAAACAGATATATGAATCAAAAATGCTAACAAATTATTGATTTGTATTCATTGGGGCATTGGTTCATGTGAATATGAATGATGAATCAGGGATTTTTGAACGAATTTGGTCATTTATTTTTTAATTTGTGCCATCCCTAGTCCACATATATTATGTATTCAAAATATTTATATCCCACCATTCTCCATAAAATGAAGGTGCCAGCATTGTATCAGTATGTTCTTGGAGGACATAACCCAAAAGGGCAGAAGCAATGACTTCAAGTTTAATTATTGGTCCCATTTGCAATTTTTTTCTAGAAAGACATTTTAAATCACTGGAATTATGCTCTTGCAATTATGAAATGCTAAATGT